AAAAAGGTAATCAATGTTAATATATAAAAAGTTAAAACACACACACTTGGGGCTCTGTGTCAGTACCTATGTAAATCTACACAATTTTCTTTAGGTATGGTGCGACCAAAAGCGATATGTCCGGCAAAAGGCGTCGGAAAACATTAAGTTGCGGAAAGGAACGGGAGGTGGCCCTAATATGGAGAAAAAACTGTCCCCAAGTGAAGAGGCTATTTTTAATTTAATTGGGTTGGAGAAATATGTGGATGGTGTCCTCGTGGAAAGATTAGGATTTCAGGTGGCACCTGAAGATGCGCTTGTTATTGACGATGCCGAAGCTCCGTCATTTGTTTCAGAAGTTGAGATATCCGACATTATCGAAGAGGAAAATTTTGTAGATATGGTGATTGCAACCCAGGAACCTCAAGACAACGGCACGGCGGCTACAAGTAAAATTACAGATTGTGTTAAAACGGGCATTATCACAGAATTATGTTCTCCGGTTCCAAAACAATCAAAAGCCGTTGCAGCTGCCGCCTTGAAAGAGGAAATAAAAATTCAAAATGAAATCTGTGCGCATATAAAGACTGCAGCAACCGATCTAAAAGAGCAACACGGGAGCTTAAATAAAATATCGCAAAGGTTATATTTATTTATATTTTATTACAAGAAAGAATAATAATCTCTTCCCTACAAATTAAAGGTTGGACAAGATATATGATATTCAGAAAAAGCACTATAAAGAGATGGAATCGCATCTGAAGGAAGTGAACCTCATTAAGAAGGAAAAGATAGAAGAAATGAAGAGACACAATTATGTTATGGAAAAAATGAGAAGAAAAGAAATTGAATACAAATTGGAAAAGAATAGACGATTGATGGAAATAGAAGATCTAAAAGTTCGTAAAAGTAATGATGGACAAATGCAGTGCGACTAGTGTATATACTGCAAGAGTATTTTTTTTATTGGATTGCCTTAAAGTACTAAGTACCTGAGTATTTATTTTTTATTAATAACATTACCAATAGTTACATTGAAGTACAAATTGCTTAAACATAAGATGTTCTACATATACAGCGCGGTAAAAGATAGCACATCAATATTTTGGCCAGTTTTGACAAATTTTCTTTTGCTATTTTTAATGTACATATATTCATTTTTTTATTAAAGCATACATCATTAGCAAAAACCATAAAAAATGAAATTCTGAATATTGTACAAAAGTTGTAAAAAATCCACAAACTTTCCATTCGAATACCAAGCAATTTAATTAGAATTTCTAATTGCATTTTTGGTATGCAGTTTTATAGCTTATTCGATTTTAGTGCAATAAAGTGCAAGTTTGGAGTTGTTAAAAACTTGCGCTGATTTTTGATAATTTTTTTTTTCTGACGGTATGCAATTTCTTCCATATGAAAATTACTTGGTGTGGAATAAAGTGCACATTACCTTCAGCAAAAAAAAATATTAAAAATCAAAGCGATTTTTCTTTAACTTCAAACTTCCCATTTATAATACTTAAATTTAATAAACTATAAAACTGCATCCCAAAAATTTTTCTATAAATTCTAATTATAATTCTTGAAATTGGAATGAAAAGCTTATGGAATTTTTATAGTTTTTGTACTCAGTTTGAAATTTGTATTTATAAGGTTTTTGTTAGATAATGGGCTATACTTTAATAAAAAAATTAATGAACATTAAAAATAGCAAAAGAAAAATAGACAAAACTTTAAAAATTTTGATGTGGTATCTTTTGTCGCGGGCTGTACGTATACTCGTACAACAACTATGAACTATGATTTAATTTTTTATGACTAAAAAAATACGTATGGAAATATAAACTGAATTGTTACCAGAAATACATGTATTTAGTTAGCAATTGAATCACGAATGCTGCATCTGATTGATCTTGCAATTTCCAAGTTGTGTTGTGATATTATTGAAATAGATTCAATTTCATCAACGCTAACATCAGGGTCAGCCACGGGCGTATTCACCTTGAAATGGATGCAAATGTTGTGTAGGCAACAGCAAACATTTACAATTTTTGCCGCTTTCTCGGGCGTGTAATGAAGTTCTCGCGCACCAAGGATACATCTCCATCTGTTCCTCAAAACCCCGTTTGTACGTTCAATGATATTGCGGCATTTAGAGTGAATTTCATTGAAGCGTAATTCCGCTGACCCATCTTCTGGCGTCCTACATGGAGTCAAGAGCCACGGTTCCAGCGGGTATCCAGCGTCACCTAAATATGTCAACATAATTTAGTATAACACATTATAAGGTAAAATTTTACCTAAAAGCCAAAAATTTCTTGTTTGACTCGAAAACTCTTCTTCGCAATGTTTTCTAAGATCACTGACATTCCAAATGAAGGAGTCATGACAAGCCCCAGGATGTGATGCGTCCACGCAGCGTATTTTTAGTTCGTGGTCGCAAGCCTGTAATAATTGATCTTAATTTATGAATCAGAAATACATATAAATCGTTTCACTCTTTACCAGCATAACATTTAAACTGAAATAACCTTTCCTGTTATAGTAAAGGTGCTTGTTTTCCGACGGTGCGATAATACGGACATGAGTCCCATCCACACATCCGACAACGCCTGGTATTTTATGTTTTCCATAAAACGAAATAGCAATTTTCCGCTTTTCTTCCTGCGTTGTTGGAAATTGTACCCATTGTGGGCATAGGTATGTGCCAAATACATCCAGCACTTCAGTTAGTACTTTGCTGAAACTAGATTGTGCTAGTCCAACATCGTGGTCTTTACCTACACCCGTCTGGTAACCACCCTCTGCAAAAAAGCGCAAACATGCGCTAAGTTTGACAATCGGTGCCACAGCAAACTGCTTCTTCCGTCTCGGTGTGTACTTTGTTAGGACTTTTAGTAAATAGCTAAAAGCCGACTTATTTACCCTGTAATACTTCTCAAATCTATAACCGCGCAATAAAATCAAATAATTAGTATTAAAAAAAGGTTAACTTTTTCACTTACAAAGATTCGGGCAGCTCAAATGGGTTCGTTATGTCTCGTAGTTTCCTCCTGAAAACCCTTTGCGCATTTTTACACTGCTCCTCTTCTTGCATAATTTCTTCAACTAGAAAATTTAACGCTAGGCTATTCATTTTTAGTGTTTAAGCTTCAAATTTGCAAAAGTTTGCCAAGTTTAAATTTGCAAATAATGAGATAATTGTCATAAACAGCTGATTTCGAAAGTGAAAAATTCCTATTCGCAAAAAAACCTTCTCCCTGAGCATTTAAAATCGGCGAATTTTTCCACAGTGAAAAATAAATTCCGCATGTGAAAAATTCCCCGAAATATTTAGAATTGGGCAGATTTAATTTACCTATTCCTCACATTTTATTCAGTAAATGAATTCCATCTTAATGTAGAATATTAGTGTATAGTGTATACATACATACATATGTACCTATGTATGCATTCGGTGTGCTTCAATTAAAAAAGCATCACTAAATACCGCACCAAGCATTGAATTCCAATTATTTTGTCTTTTTCGTTTTCCAAAAGCACTAAATTTAATGCAAAATGCACGACCTTGGCAACAGTGAGCTGAGCACATCAATGCTCAAACAGTGATGCCAGACCAAGTATTGAGTAAATGCGCTATGTATATTTTTCTTTTAAAACAAAAGTTCCAATTGGCGAGGGTATTGATTTTTGGTGCTTACATAGAACACTGATAAGATTCACAAACTTATCTTAGGACTTAATTAAAATAATCAACATTATTTGTAGACGAATATATTTGTGTTCGTATGAAATAGTAGCTTATGTCGGAAGGCTGGCTTTAGTAAAATGTACCATTTCCTATATTCATTAAACCACAAGGAATTTTTTTATGACCTATATAGCGTATTAATGTTTTATCATCATTGTCTTCATCTTTGACAAAATTACACGGTCACCCGGTATCTATTTTATTTTTTTAAATAATTTAATTAATTTTTTTTTATAAAATTGTAGCTCATTATCAAACAAAAACCTTGCAAATAAATCGAAACTTGAAAGAATGAAAAAAATCAACAAAGTTTCATCAAATTTTCACAGTTTTTGTTCAGAATTTTTAGACATGTTTTGGGTTAACAATTTTGTAGCCCATTAATAATAATAATAGATTGGCGCTTACACATATGTTAGTGTTTGGCCGAGCTTCTCCTCCGACTTGTGGCGTGCGCCTTGATGTTGTCACACAAAGCGGAAGGACCTACAGTTTTACGCCGACTCCGAACGGCTGTTTTTCATGGCACAAATACACTCGGAGGTTTGCCATTACCTGCCGAGGGACGACCGCTGTTAAGAAAAAACCTTTTTCTATATTTTTTGTGATGTTGCTTTGACTAGGGCTTGAACCCAGGTGCTGATGAGTGAAAGCGCGCACTGCTTACCACTACACCATAGCCCATTCATTCTAGTATAATAATGTGCAAGTTTGAAGTGTCTAGAAAATACCATTGATTTTTCTGTTTGCGGTGTTGCGCACTTCCTTCCATATAACGAACGTTCGCATTTTATGTTATATGGATGAATGTGCGTGTAGCGTTGTTGTTTTTTAATCCAATATTTTAAATTAAGCTTTATTTTATAGTTTTTCTTAGACAATGATAAATGATGTACACAAATTTCAGTATGGAAAAAAGTGCAACACCTTCAACGAAAAAAGTTCTCAAAAATCTACGCGAATTGAATGTACTATCTCGATCATTTAAACATCTCTGACCAAACCATCTCTCTCTGACCAAGTGGTTTGAGGCTGCTGATCACGAACCTAGGACATCGTTTTAAAAATTCATAACGGCGAATCCAATATGGCAACAAAAAAAATAAAATCGATTCGGTCCGCTTGATACATTTTCCTCTGGGGTTCTTGGGGCCGCTTATTACCCATCTGAAGTCAGAATAGAAAAATTCAAAAAGGCGGACCCAATACGGTGGAAAACAAAAATTAATAATTATTTATTATAATCAATCCTTGAAACGTTTTCGACGGGGATTTTGGGGTTGGTGGTCATCTAAGCGTCGTACAAATAAATTCTCGTA